AAATGACGGAATCGAAAGTGAGTCCTTGAAAGTAAAAGTAACCACCACAAGACGGACTCATCGCGTATATTATACGCTTAAATGTTCTACGAGTGAAAGAAGAAAGAAGCACCGCTGATAATTTATCGAATAAATTGAATTCCTTACGAGATTCACGGCTGTCATGCTCTGATTAACACATTATGTCGAATATTATTCATATTTTAAGCACCAGATGACATCACTTGCGCAGACGTTTAGTAATAATGATAAATCTATTATGTGTTATTATCCCTGCAGCATTCTTGTTGTCATTGTTGACGATTGCATGTCGGTTTGTTACGATTTGTACGCCGCTTTCAATTTGAACATGCGCGATTCATTAACAGTTCGTTAACATTAATGGGTTTTCACTTTTTTCTCCGTTTTGCAATGGGTAAACGATGCGGCGACAATCGATGGTGGATTCCAGAGCATTCACAACATCATAAACAATTATTAATGATGAATTTCTAAAGTTTATCAATTATATTGAAGAAGAATTAAAAACTTTTTAGTTTTTAATGAAAACAAGTATTTTGCGAGTTATAGGCAACTTTTTATACACTAAAATGTTTTGGAAGTTTTTAAATGCAAAAGCCCTACGAATATTATAAATGCAAAAGTCCTGATGTTTGTTACACTTTCACGCAAAAACTACTTAACCGATTATCATGAAAATTTGTACACATATTCTTAGTGGTCCCCGAATGTTAATAGGCTACTTTTTAATTAATAAAAATTATTTTTAAATAAATAAAGAAATGGATTTAGCCAATAATACCTCTGCATCTGGCTAATTATTTCACTTTAACGCCATCGCATTCAGCAATGAAGCTCAAACTAGCCTAAGTACTATAGTACCATCACACTGTATTATCACACTGTATTACCGACAGCTACGTCAACATCAAATCCAATTGACTACACTATGGAGACTGTACACTATACTTCCATAGACTATACTTCATTATTTTAGATATTCGAGAGCGAAGCCGCGGGTTAAAGCTAGTAAAGAATCAAAATATGAAAAAATATGTCAGTAGTCAATATTATTGGTTATATTAAGTAATATAACCTTAAAAATCAAATATTTTGTTTTTTTCTGTAAAATGTTTGTGTTAATGGTGTTATAGGCAACTTTTTATACAAAAAACAAACATATTCAATCATTTCCTAAAGTTTTTCATCTTTTTTGCATAATTTCTCATTTTTCAAATTAAAATATTGACCCTACCTTAACCGACCAATTAAACTTTTGGGCTCATCTTAATGGTGACAAGTCTTGAGGGCACCATCCGAATCACTTTCCTGTTAAGCGCCATTGGCGTTTTCACATAAACCAAAACAAACTCATAAAATGCGCGGTAGCAATAAATAAATGCAACCACAAGTAAATACTAAATTCACGAGAGAAGTGCTTTGAAGAAATTAAAGAGCCAAAAGGTTGAAGACATTTCGAATCACATACGAGTATACATACGGTACTTTACAAGTATGGATTTGTGCATGTGGTTTTATTGTGGTATTGGCGTGAAATTTGGAGAATGGCTTTCTGAGCGGGGTTTTAGCCCACGTTAGATCGGTACGGATGGCGTGCATGAGCGTACGGCAGTTGTGGATTAATTAAGGTTATTTATTTATTTCGCCCGCGTTTACTTTTCGAATAACAACGTAATAAAATACAGTATAAGCATATGATCGTTTTGGTATGGTTTGCGTGGTCGGCGTTTTGGTGTTAGAACTATTTGTTTGGTCGCGCTGTAAACCGATGAGCATGCCGTTATCTACATAATCGGCGCGCACGTTTTAGCCACGTAAAGTTTAAGAGATAACCAAGCTTTACGTACCATCGTCACGCGAAGGCGTTAGTTGAAGCATTTAAGCTTGTTTATTTGTTATTCTGTACGGCGAGCGTGCAATTCACAAAGGGATCCTGTTCTAAGTTTATCGCCTTAAAAATATACCCAGGATGTCCTGTAACATAATTGGCCGCAATTATTTATATTACCAACACGATAACTGCGGTTTACGCAGGTGCGGCGCAACAGCCTTTTTCGCTGGTTAAATTCCTGGAGTTTTCTTAAACTTTTTGAAACATTGGTGACGTAGTATTGTGCGATAGGTGTGTTTAAAGGGCTGGTCGCTTTATCGTAAAACATTTGGATAGTGGGTTGTATTGGTTCTCGTTAAACCGTCCGTATGGGTTTGTTGAGAATATGGTTTTGAACAAAGGGCATTTTGGACGGTTTTTAATTATTATAGTCAATCACCCAGATACTTGATGTATTTGGTTTAATATAAACATTTGAGGTTGGTGTTGGGATCGGATGTTTAATGTTCGTGGCCGTGGATAAGTTGGAAATATGTTTAATTGATACATAAAGGTGTGAGGAATGATAGTTCGTGTGAGTGTGACGTCGGTGAAATAGTCGTTGGTGAAATAAAGGGCTAACGATAGGGCTTGATTAATTGGAACATGGTATTTATAAAAAATGGACACGATATGGTGAGGAGATGTGCGGACGTACAGGTATGATGCGATGCAGAACCACGGCCGAATGGTCAGGATTCGTGCGTTCGTTCAGTGAGATATCACCACTCCAATCAAAACCAAAGGTAAGGGTTAACAATTAAAACAAACAAAACTTTAAAGAGCAAAAATGTGGCGAATAATGTGTGCAGTGCGCGGACCCAGCAACGCGGCCAAATGTTCAAATACGCATCAAATCCTGCGTTATTCATGCATCGTTGCGCGTGCCATCGTGAATAAAAACGTCCTCTGGCATGCAAAACTTCCCTTCTGAAGTTGCAATTCCACCGACTGGTTAGTACTGTAACACTCATTTATGCGGTGGTAAAAACTGCCCGTATCGTCAGTTTCGGACTTTGACCTAAACACATTCAGGAAAGAATCGGCCAGTGATCTACGTCAAATATGTTATTCGGCCTCGGAACGAATATATGGCCTGCTTGTGTTGCGGCGCGCCGGTTTATAATCATAGTGATGTAGGTGCCACTGGGGCGACGTCATTACGGTTCGGCGTCCTGCGATGATAGGCACGGTGACGCATTATTGATCTGGTTAGTCACGGTCGGTTCATGTTTTGTTTGTAGGGCCGTTTCTTCCGCGTTGGCGTCATCGGAAGGCAGACTCTGAGGTTTAGAATATTGGTTGGTCGTTGTGCGTTATTTGTTTTGTGGTACTCAACGACCGGTTCGTTGCGAAGGTTGGGATGGTTTGTTTTCTCGCGGTTTTGGTTCGTATAATTCAACTGACGACGACAATTATTGGATGCTTGAAGAATATCTGCGTGACGTACCTCGGTATGGTTATCGGCGGAGATTATATCTTCTCGTGGATTAACTTCATTGGGATTAATATTAGTGTGGCGGGGAGTTTGATTTATACGTATGTGACGTTCACCAAGAGGAAGGAAACCAGTCCGTACGTGCCGCTGCGGACGGATAAGGAGCGGAAAGCTGATATTGTATAGTACATTGATAAGGTAATGAGGATGTGGAAGGAAGTTCATTCCGAATAGTTAAAGATACATATTATGACTAGGTTTGAGTATAAATTACCTCGAAATGATTGTATAATCATGTATTAGGTGGAATTTAGGTTGTTACCATTGAGATTAGGAGTTTTTGGAAGTTATAGAAGATAATTTGCGTTGATAAAGATGGGGGACATCGATTTATACCAAAGTAATGCTTAATTATGGATGAACGGTATGTAGTTTTCTAATACAGCGACAAATTCGCCACAAAGAACAGTTTAAGCATAGAAATCGTGGTTTTTGGTTGACAAATCACAATGAAATTCAAGGTTTTACAGGATGTTTGTGGTACGTTACTATGATGGTAAACTTTGGATTATTGCGCGGGTAATTTAAAAAGTTAGTATTTTGTATTTTTGCTTAAAATCGCGGTTTTTATATCAAAATCAGTGTTTTAGTTAAAATATTCAAAAAAAGATGTCACGGTATTTTAAAGTTACAGTAGGAAGTCGGTTATAATGGCATCAGAAGAGGAATTGACAAACACGTCATAATAAGCGGACGGCACGTCGCGCAAAGCGTTTGTGAAATAGAAAACCGCGCGGTAAATATGTACGCGCCCATATTAAATCCGGAAATCAAAATTACCGCAATAATCAGCACATTAACACGTTCAAAGTGTATTTTTACTGCAAGTAATCTGTAATTTTTATCTGCTTTTGTTTTCATTTAATTAATTTTCTTGTGATTTTCAGAAGCTTCTTCGGTTTCAAAACATTTGAATTGAACGATTGCTTAATACGGTTATGGTTCTTTAAAAGCATTGAGATTGTCGGGCCAGCCCACGCCAAATTCGGATTAATGGAAAATACGGATTAAGTCGTGGTCAAAATTTCTGGTCTTTCCGATAGTAAATACATAAATGTAATTTGTCAATGCAAAATGTAGCGAAAATAAATATAAAAAGTTCGCCACGTGTCGGGCAAAATCGTCGGGTATCAGCGAACATTACCGGAGGTGTAAGGAATCATGTTGGTCGTATTTATAGCCGAACATAATCTATTAAAATGGGTCATAATAAGCGACATGTCACTGTAATGAGAGTCATTGTTATATCCGACGCGGTACATATGAAAACCAAACTTGGTAGTGTAGTTACGTCATAATAAACGATTTGGTCAATATAAGTGAGTCATAATAAACGGATTCTGCACAACGCCTCTTAATTTCCTCGTTATAAATCACAGTTTCTCATAACGACGAAAAAATATTTTATTTCTAGCAAATATGTGTGCTAGAATATTTTTTCAGGCTGCTTGACGTGATGGTAACATTTGAAATATTGTTGTAATTAAGTCCCAACATCCCTACAAATTGCCGTAAATTTCATAACCAAGCACACATTTTTCAGCTAATTTTGTTGGGGTGCACGTTTACAGAGCTACTAGAAAATCATTTCGTATAACACAAGTATGAATACAACTGAGCGACGCGGAATTCATATTTAGACTTCAGGAAATCTTTACCGGCATTTTTACTAGAGTAATTCAGTTTATAACAGTTTACAAAAGATTAGACAGATGCCAGACCGCGTAAAATATCAATATTTGTTATTTTTTGGTTCCTATGTTGTTATAAAGAGGCTACACTGTATTTATTCTAAGTTTATAGACGTGGCGAAATTCCGCGCGGGCCACGTAACGCTGTTTCAAGAACATCTGCATAATTTGTCTGCATTTAGACATCAAACGCGATAAAGTTTATTCTCGGCGTTCGGTTTATTTTTACGAGACTTTACCAATGGAGATGTTTGTGCTTACACGTACATGCGTCGGAAACACAAAACAATCGAATTTATTTGATGAGTAATCACGCGAAACAATTACAGTTATAATAAATCACTAAATCAATATTTAAGATCACATCTGCTTCTTGAAAACATCATATATTCCATTGAAATGTATATATTTTCTCGAAAATATTATCTTACGGATCTTCGGTGCCATTTTATTCTCGGCTACCTGAAATTGGCACTCACAGACACACATCTGACTATTTGACCCCTCGGAGGGTACCGCTACGCGCCGAAATCTACACCACAGAGACTTTACTTTATGTTTGCCGTCGGCGTAGCGTAGTTGTGGCGCGACGCCGGTTAAGAATGGACGTGACGTAAACGTGTAAACTCGAAAAACAAGCGTCCGAAACCGGAACACCGCAGCATTCTACATCTAGTGAACCAGTGAATCAAACATGAATGAAAACATCACATAAACAGCAAGCAAATCAAATCAAACACATAAAATTCACTTATTTCACTTATCGATAATCAATACATCCATAAATCCATACGTGGCGCAAATAATTGATTCATTCGCAAAATGTAAAATTCCAACACCACACCACATGAATAATGTAAATGACGTGTGGTATACTTGTCAGTTTCGCCGCTACTTATTAACGTAAACGTGTATTTGTTCAATTTTTATCTAACTGCAAACAAATACGAAAGTAATGAGCACACAAGCAACACAAAAGTAACACAAGGCAAACCAACATCAACATCACCCAAACACCGACGACATCATCATGTGGAAGCGCGTGGCCTCTGCGTTATTCTACGCATTCTCTTCGTTCACGATCACCATCGTCAACAAGAACATCCTCACCAACTACAACTTCCCGTCTGGGATGTGTCTGGGCCTCGGGCAGATCCTCACCACCATTCTACTCCTCTACACAGCGAAAATGATAAAAATCATCGATTTCCCAGACTTAAACAGTGAGACATTCTTCAAACTTCAACCACTTCCAATGATCAACATGGGGAATCTTATCTTCGGCCTGGGAGGAACAAAAGAATTAAGTTTACCTATGTACACCGCCTTAAGAAGATTCTTGATACTCATTACAATGTGGGCTGAGTATTACCTGCTCAATGTCCAGCCGAATCTTAACATTACTCTGAGTGTCTACATCATGATCATCGGCGCATTGATAGCTGCCTATGATGATTTAGGATTCAGCGCGGTAGGATACACCTATATCTTCCTGAATAACATCTTCAGCGCTGCGAATGGTGTTTATATCAAGCTAAAACTCGAGACGAAGAATGAAATGGGTAAATGTGGATTGATGTTTTACAATGCGTTGTTTATTTTGATTCCGACGTTGATTATGGCACATCTCACTGGGGAATTACTCCAGGGATATGAATATCCTGGATGGGGTAATAGATGGTTTCTAGCGCAGTTTGGGATGTCTTGTCTGATGGGATTCATTCTGAATTATAGTGTTTATCTTTGCACGACGTATAATTCGGCGCTGGGGACAAGTATAATTGGATGTTTTAAAAACGCGTGTATTACTTATGTTGGGATGGTGTTTGGGAAGGACTATATCTTTTCCACTGTGAATTGTATAGGGATTAATATTAGTGTTGCGGGCAGTTTGATTTATTTGTATTGTAGTCAAAGGACAGATGTGGTGAAGGAAAAGACGAGTTCCAGTGCAATTGTAAAACTTTAAAATGTTTGAATTTTATAAATTTAAACGTTTGTATATATCTAGAAGATAGTTCCTTTAATTATTAGGTTATCTAGAGTGTCTAGAGTGTCTAGGGATTCTAGAACGAGCGAATTTATGCTGGATTTGTTCATGGATTAACTGATTTGGAAGAATTACGTTTTTATCGTGCCATTTTGGTTTCAAAATTAAAAAAACAATGTTATCATCACGTATTTTGGTTATGTTAAAGGATTAAGTTGATTTTTGTGGTTCAGAGGACTGTAATTTTGTAAATTTTTAACTTTTAATGGATTACCTCGAATGTCACACTAGGATAATTATTGTAATGACTTGCCATAGTTGATGAATGATTTTTGATGGTTTTTCTGTTATGGAACCATTGTAAAAATGATTCTGGAATGTAATAATCTGTGATTTGTAGAAAATCTTGTATATTGTAATAGATTCTATGTATTTGTATTGAATTCATGTATGATTTTATAAATTATAATCAATTGAATACCAATTGTTGCATAATTTAAGCGATAAGTTGTGAAATTTTATTGTAATTGTGATTTTTAGATGCTTCGACACGTCCATGGACGTTTTTTACTTGCAAAGCGTTTGAACTGCGGTTATGAACGTGCAGTGCATCAAGAAACGCAAGAAACTCGAAGTGAAAACGCTGCTCAAGGTGAACGTATTGATTGTTTCGAGGAATACTTTAAGAAGCATCATATCCAGACGAATTTCTTTCAAAAAACACTTCTGGGAGTCGGGGCTGGGTTAATGGCGTTGTATGATCCACATCGGGGTGATATGATTGCAACTATGGGTGAAACAACAGGTAAAAATTATAAGTTTTTAATTTTTTTGTTTTTTGTTGAAATTAAATGAGTAAAAGTATAATTTTTAGGCTACGGTGCAATACAATTCATCAGAGAGCGAATGGAGGCTTGCGAGGAAGGTCAACGAATCCTCCGTGAGCGTCCACGAATAAATTCGAAGACTGTTGATTTGGAGAAACTTAAAGCATACCCAGAGGGTACCTTTGGAAAGATGTACAGTAATTTTCTAATCGTTAATGTAAGTTATTCGCGTGGAATGTTTAGTATTATTTCATCGGATTAATGAAAGTTGAGTTGTTGGTACATAGAATCAATTAGTCATTCATGCGGTGCTCGTGAGTACATTAACATAGTAGATAAATGTGTAATTAAATGAAATCATCACTTGTTTAATTTATGGACTGAGCTGCGGAGTGAGTTAATCGTCTGATTGTGAGGCTTTTCTGTTTTGTTTTTTTTGTAGAACGTGACGCCGGATGCAAGGCTGCCGGTGCAATTTGTTGATGATGTCGAGTCGGCGTACGTGATGCAGCGGTACCGCGAAGTTCACGACCTATTTCACGCCGTGCTTGAAATGCCTACGAATATGTTAGGTAATTGTGAAGTAATCATTCATTACAATAACCTACTGAGCGTTTTGTTTAAATATGGTGTAGTCAGGTGTTTTATGATGTTTAAACGAGTGTTGTTTAATCAAGGAACAAAAAATAACAGAATATTAGGATTTTATGTGGATTGGCTTCTGATTTTTCATCATTATACAGAGAAGCTGTAATGTTATAACGAAGAAATTATGTTATAACGAGGCTACACTGTATTTTAATGTTTTTATTAAGTTTTTCTTTAAATTACTTATTTTGTAGGTGAATGTACTGTAAAATGGGTGGAAGCAATACAAACAAGACTACCTATGTGTGTTTCTGGAGCACTGTTTGGTGGAATGCGATTAAAACCAAAGTAAGTCCACATTTTTTACTTATTTTAACATATATTTTACTTTATATTATATTTAAGGCATAGAGAGCTTTATGTCAAGTATCACCTTCCCTGGGCGATTCATACTGCCTACAAAATTAAACCCTTGATGAATGTTTACTATGAAAAACGTTGGGAGCAACCAATCGAAGAGTTTCATCGAGAAATTGGATACCAACCACTTTTATACCCCAAAGGTGCAACTGCAAGTACAAATACAACAACAAAAAGTAAACAAACTTAATTTATGTAAGTATTATCCAAAATTATACAATTTATACTGAAAATAAGGCAAAATGCAATAAATTAAAATTTTTAATTTAAATTTAAGGTTAGTTTAATTTGTTTCCTGCAGATGGCGTAGGTGTATTGTTATTTGCCTAATACCAACTTATCTAACTAACGCCTTTTCGCGCGTTATTGTTTTCACTAACGGCGTCAGTAACGCGTCTTATCTCGCGAAATAATTTAGTGCAGTGAAAAAAACGTGAAAAATGGGTCCAGAATCAGTCCAAAAGCTGCTTACAAGGTAAATAATTTGATTTATTAGATATAATAAGTTAATACATACCGCATTTCATGCGTACCGTTATAAAAATATACAAATTTCGTCGTTAACAATATTGTTGGTTAGCGTTGCAGCGTGTTACTGATTAGAGCTGATTTCACTATCTTGAATTTTACCATTTTCATTTGCATTTGTATCAGCATCAGCCTCACAATCTAATATTTCTAGTTTCGCAAGTAATTCGTTAAGTTTTTCCGCTTTGCGCTCTTCGTTTTTCTCAATTATTGCACATAAATGCTCTGTGAGCATTTCTTTCTTCTCTAGCCTTTGGTGCAGGTGCATTTTTGCATTTAGGAATTCCTTCTCAATCTTATGATACTTTTTCTGTGCCTCTGTGTAGTCATAACTGGCATTCTCAATTTGTTTCCTTAATATTTTCACATCATTTGAGAGTGAATCATCTAACTTTTTGAATTCATCTTGTATTGCCACTAGTTTCTGTTGTTCTTGCAAAGTTCGCTTGGTTCTATCCTCAAGTGCCTTTGCAACTTGTTCTTTTCTCACTCGATTTTGTTCTTCCATGTATTTCTGCTTCTGTGTGAATTCATCCAAGTCAATTGGTTTCTTTTCTGTTTTCTCATCATTTACTACAGTTTGTGATGGTATTGTGGGTGGTGATAAGCTAACATTGACTAGTTTAGCTTCATCAGGCAAATCAGAGGCAGTTAATTTAGATTCCAATGTAATTTGGTTTCTTATTTCTTGTTTCGATGGTTTTGCTTTCATCACCATTGCTGGTGGATGCTTCTTTTTGGTCACAGCTGCAAAATTAACAAAATAAATTAATTATTCGTATGTTTTAATGAATAATTATATATTTACTGGAATTTTTTGGTGTGAGTCTCTCGCCATTTTGTAATTTGGCAATGTCTGCTTCACTAAAACCGGAAAAACTCGACATTTCTGATGTTTAATCATTGAAGAGGAAGTTGAAATCCACGTTGGATGTTGCAAAGAGGCTTGGAAACGAGCTGAAACAGTTTGTTGATGTCACAAGTCAAATGAAACCGAGTTAACTCAGTTAAGTTCACTACGCATGCGCAATATACTTAAAACTCAACTTAAGTAACGATTTAGTTAATCTTTTCACCGCTAGAGTGTACAATGTGCTTGAAACAACACAAATTTAGTTTGTAATAAAAAAAATAAACAAATTGGTTAATCAATTGAACATTTTATTATTAAAATAAGTACTGAATGCATCATTGGTACGTACAAAGGTAAACTGTATAATATCCACTTACTTATGTACAAAATTATAACTGACTTGTAAGCTGGAACGCATTAGAGTATCTAAAGTTAAACTCAGAACAAACGCAACGCTGCTTCATCGATATTCCGAGCGGGACTAACAATTAAACAATAAATATGTACAGACGCTTTGTTTTCCTTCTTACATCTTACACCTATACACGCCGTCAACGTCAATTAATACAATTAGATGATATGGCAGTTTTGCGATGGCGCTGATGAATGACAGAAAATGAATTGGTGGCGAACGCGCGTAATCTCATTACGCGCTCGAATCGATAATCAAATATGACATTTATGTTTAGTGACGCCGATGAATAAATTAGTAAATTATCATTATATTTACAGACTTGGGACGTTCGAAAACAAAAATCGATACCACGCATATTACGTTTTACTAACTAGAATAACAAACAATGAACTAGCTGCATCTTTGGTTCCTACTGGCTGAGGGTCATTTCTTTTTCTTCTTCCGTGCTTAAAATATGTTTACACTAACAAACTTCGCGTTTTCTCAGCCGCATCTCACTTGTAGCGACAGCAATCCACTCATTCCTCGAACTATCCATCCAGGTGAGTCCCAGATTATACCTCCCGTTGAGATTTGCATGCTGACAATGCGAGAACCACCAGCCACCTTCGTAGTTACTCGCACAATGCGTATTACTTATATCCCGATCATTATCAACGGTTGAAAACTCCATTTTGTTTTGATAATCCAACGCATCACTCGCATTCCCACGATATCCTCCAACATGTAGTCTGAATCCATGCTCGAAGTCAGCGACACGGAAATCCTCGTAGTTTGCCTGCCAGTATTTACCGTAGATGTCCTTCATGTTGATCTGTAGACTGGTGCAATTGCTGGCGGTAAGGTGGTGGAGATTCCGATTACCCAGCCAGTGTTCACCGGTCGCCGAGCCGAAACCGTTGCTGTAGTCGTTCCAGTTGCGGTTGAAGTTCACCGAACCATCGTAGCGCTTCTGGATGGTCGTCCATCCATCGCTGCAGTGCGCGAGGATCGGTTCGCCGTCCCCGGGGGAGATGAGGTACACACCGGTGGGACCCGCTACGGCGTTACAGTCGTGCGGCAGCTTGTTCACGATACTTTTATACTCATTCTCGAAAGATTTCAGTTCCTGGACGAGGTGGATCGTTGTTTTGGTTGCGTTTGCATCAGCTGTCAAAGATTCACTCTAAGAAAAAAAGTTTTTATTATTTTTTTTATTCTTTGGGTGAAAAATAACGGTTTTTACCTTTAAAATATGATCGTGTAGTTTAGAAGTCTGTACCAGGGAAGACTTCTTCAAATTGTCGACGTCCGCTGAAATGTCCATGAGACGCTTGGCATCCGCATCGGTTTTATCCTGGAGATTCGACACGCTGACACTAATCGCCTTCACAGAGGCGCGAATGTTGGCGGCGTCCTCTTTGAGCGCCGCCAGCTTGGAGCTGCCATCCGCCGCCTGAAATTCTAATTTCGATATCTCCTTGCGGAACTCGGGCATGAGCTTATCGACGCGATCCTCGATGCTCTCCACGTTCTCGAGTAGTTCCAGCACGGACGAGTGCAGCTTGTCGAAGTTGGCGAATTGCTCGGTCAGATTGCCGATCGCCTTCGTATTGATGCTCTGCTGGCGTTCGACGTCCAGCATCTGAACGCCTTCGGTTTTGATTTCATTGATTTTGTGCTGCTTGAGATAGTTTTCCACCTCGTTGCCGTTGATTCTGTCATAGACGTCGTCTTCGGGTTGCATCGGCGGGCGTAATTCGGAGATTTGCGTTTGCAGTTGGTGGATTTGACTCTCGAGATTCGTGTTCTTCGCTTGTAGACTGCGCGTTGTTTTTTCCAGTTCGACAATGTGCATTTTAAGGATGCGCTGGTGGCGTGAGTGACTTTGGTTGTCTTCCGGATCGACGGAGTGCCGTCGGCTACGGTTTTCAATTCCGCTGATGGGCCGCAACTTCTTCCAATTGTACGACCATTCCATTTGTGCGGCTTTCAGCTGCAAAAACATGAAAAAAATTCGTTTGTTAGGACAAGTATTGGTATATTTTCCATTCATTTATTCTACGCGTACTTCCACCTGTCCGTCTCTTTGTAACCGTCTTTTTTTTTTCTCTCTCTATGCTTCTTATTCTGTATCAATGTGTGTGTGTATAGGGGCCAAACGCAAATTGATGGTCGGATGGACGCTTTTGTATAACATGCTCCATATAGTGAAATACGGCGCGCCGGATAATATAAATTCAAGAATCGATTTCGATAAAGCTTCGCTTCTTCTGAGCACTTTGGCTCGAATACAAATACTCGTCCTGCTTTTGCTTTCCATCCGCATCCGGCCCCCGGTATTCTATTATAATATTTCGCCGACTTTTATACGCGCGCATTATGAACGCATATTGCTTTCAATGCGATTATTCGCATGCCACGAGCGGAATGTGCGAATATTTTCAATTTACTGCCGAATACGGACGAATTCCCGATCAGCACTTTCGCAGGGACTTCAAGGAAAATCATTCATTGTCCTCACACGTAATTTTTCTTATATATTGGCTGGAATCTACACGAAAACCGGCTGGGAATGTGTTGAATCAGGAAATTTAGTTGATTTTGATTTTTTGTGAATAAACGCGGATAACTCGGGTAATTTTTATATTACAAAATTTATTTTGATATGGTTTTAAAGAGGATTAAATTGTGTTTCTATTGATATCAAATAATATGATTTTCTTTAAAAACTTTCGGAGTTACAAGCAGTTAAAGTTTGAAAAGCTCTGAAAAAAGCCGGAATTTAGACAAAATTAAAGATTACTAAAAGAGATAAATCAGAAATCAAAGCAAATAAAGCTAAAAATAAAGAACAGGCTATCAGCCATCGTTTAAGCTCAAAATAATTAAAATCGCACCATGGGAACCTTGTCAAAAATGACTTCAAAGTTGCTTTCACCTGCAAAAATTCAGAGTGGCAACCCAATATACTCGATGTGACACCATGCGTCAAACTTAACTCTACATAAAACATAACCTAACCCCAAATTGTGCATATTATACAGCACAAATCGAAAATTACTAAAATATGATTTCTTCATATTTTACATTCTGAAACATAAACGTTTACAGCGTGAATACCAGTAGACATAATCGAATTATTAATATCTGACTTATTAAGCGCTCGAAACAGTTGCGTTTTGCAACTGCGTGCTGGCCTAAATTAATTACGGCGCTCGCGTTGCGCATCGTGCATTATGCACGCTAAATTTGGCATTAACTTTGAATGCGTTATATATTTGGTCGCCGGTGAAGCGGGTGCATTTTTGATTCGCACTTCGATGGAGCCGCCAACTTGCACACGACCAGAGCGACGCTAATAAATTTTCGATGGATACGTTAACCGGCGCCGGCGGTTATGCAGGAGTGCATTTTGGCTTTTTGGCGCTGGTGCTCAATTATTTATGAACAAGTCCGGCGATCAGGTCAACGCTGATACGCGTCCCGTGTGCGTTTGAGGTTATGTTGCACCGGAATGCAATAAACACAGGCCGCTTGCAGTGTGAAGTACCGACTGTGACATTGGTAAATCATTCGGTATTCACGCGGAATTGCAGTGAAATGAAATGTTTTACGTTTGAGCATTAAGAAATGTCGTAGTATTTTATATTCGACGATAAAACCACGTAAATGCTTTGGGTGTAAGAGTTTAATGGACAAAATTGAATTTTTTCTATTTTGTAATTTAGATGTCGGTATACCGGTATTAATATCGGTATTTCACACCACTAATACCGGTATTCGGGTATATATTGCAAAATTTAACATTTTTAATATTTGAAATAAAAAATACCGGTATTTCGATATTAATACCGGTATTTTACACCCCTAATACCGGTATAAATCAAAATACGAGTCATTAATTCCACATATCGCGATCAAGATTAACATTTATTACAAATTGTAGGCAGGTACAATACTCTTTTGACTATTTGTACCAAAATATAACAAATGAAATTGTTGTTGTTGTTGGTGGAAATAAAGCCAGTCGAGTTAATTGCGATTCTTTATTAGCCCGCGCAACAACAATTAATAACAATGGTTATTAAGGTGCGTTAGCTGAAATTTCGCACGCGCGTGTATGTTATAAGCAATGCATAACATCGCGCCATGCTGCCGCCGCATAATAAAAAGGCGAAGCAGCGCACGAAACGAAATTGTTCGGCGGGGCAGTTAAAGAGGCGAGCGTAATGCAATTATCGTTAAGAAAAAGGCTGCAGTGTGGTTGCGTTTCAGCCCTTCAGCCCTTTGAAATGGCCGACATGTGTTCGTTACGAAAACGGTCATGTTTGCGCTTCGCCGGCGCTGGCAAAACTTAAGTAATTCAACGGATACAATGAGAATTTTTATGTAATTAAAACGTATCAATTGTTTTTATTTTAATTTATGGATGACGGTTTATAACGGTCGAAAAAAACTAGGAAATTCCAACTAGGAGTGAGAAATACCGGTATTAATATCGGTATACCGGTATTTTTTCTTTTCACATATTAAAAATTTTCAATACAATACCGGTATATTGGTATTTTGAGAAATAACGGTATTGATACCGGTATACCGGTATTATTTGTATTAAATACCGGTATTAATATCGGTATACCGGTATTTTTTCTTTTCAATTATTAAAAATTTTCAACACAATATTACTTGCAACAAATACCGGTATATCGGTACTCTGAGAAATACCGGTTTCGATACCGGTATACCGGTACTTTTTGTATTAAATACCGATATGTATTTTGCTTAAAAAAATACTGGAAAACACGAAATGTTTTTCTTTTTTTTAACGTTTTTTTGATGTTATTATCTACTTTTATGTTTTTCTTTTACTGTTTGCCTTTTTTCCTTTGGCAAAGCATATTGCCACATCCCGAAAATATTTCATGAATTCAATAGGTTTTTAATGCCGTGCGCGCTCGGAAATTTATCGAAACGATCGCCGGTATAGTTATACGAGTTGTAGACCGCGCTGTGTATCTTTTTTATTTTTTATTTAAGCCGGCTGGCGTCCAGCTTATAATAAAAGTTCGGCAATATCGGCTTTGCGGCGCAATAATGTTATCGAGAGAGTTGCTGGACACACATGTGTGCATAATGATGCAGGTAGTCGTTTCGGCGGCGCGGCGTGCGGTTGGTCAGCGGGTCGGCAGGTGAAACGAAAGACATCTCGTTTCGGACGCACAACACCTGCTCTTTTCCAAAACGCATCCGACCGATTACCAACCGTCTCAAAAACTTCAACAAGCTGCTCGGTTTACCCATGTATACAAGTGTCACTATAATAATTTCATTCCTAACTGAATAAGAATGGAATTTTTGGTATTTTTTGAAAGAAATATTAATTTTATGAAATATTGCATTAGCTGTCAAACGAAAATGACAGAATATTGTAGATTAGGTCAAGAGGCATAACTTTAAATAGAAATTTATTGTTTTTCAAAGTTTTTTTTTGGTGTTTTTTGAGATATTTTGTTTTTTATTGCTCAGATAATTGCAAAACATCAAAAATATTGTGTAATAAGTTGCCTAGCATCACTGACATTGCTTTTTCTATAATACTTTCATTTATAACTGAATAAAAAGCAAGTTTTGTTAGTTTTATCAAAGAAATATTGAAATTCATGAAATTCTGTGACTGCTGTCAAACTATAATTGACAGAATTTTGTTGGTTATGTCAATAGACATATTTTTTATACTTTTTTAATGTATTACTCAGTATTTTGTTACTTTTTACGCAGAAAAATGCACAAAATCGAAAATCTTGTGTAATAAGTTGCCTAAAATCACCGAAATTAATTTTTCTATATTAATTTCAGTTTTAATTGAATAAAAAGCAATTTTTGTTGGTTTTTGCAAAGAAATATTAAAATTCATTAAATTATGTGACAGCTGTCAAACTATAAATGACAGAATATTGTTGGTTATGTCACCAGACATCATTTTTAATTTTTTTTAATGTTTTACTCAATATTTTGTTACTTTTTACGCAGAAAAATCAAAAAAATCAAAATTTTCGTATAAAAAGTTGCCTAACGCAACCCACATTGTTTTCCAATAGAAATATAAGTAACATATTACATATGAGAATGCGAAGCAGCAGGTAGTCTTGAGAATGGTCATGCAACCAAGTTAGCACCATTCGTATTTTAGAAATTTCGCTCCGCAAGCGAATAAAAGCTCCCAAACCTCCGAAACGCGCACGATAAAGAACAGCACCGTGGTCGTTACATGCATATTCAAGGCGTTTTACGCCTGGAAATTCACATCCTCGGACTCGTAGAAAACAACTCTGGTTCCCTTCGCCAAATATTATTACCCGGTGAATGTGCGCGCAATGGCGCACTCATTTTCTTCCCGTTGTTTGCACCGCCAGCAAAGCAAAAACAATAAAAAAAAGTGAATAGCGCGCGCGCGCACGCTTTCGACTGCAATTTCGCCTCTCTCGTAGTGCGGTAATAAATGCACTTGCAAGCTGTGCTTTTGGAAGAGCCGAGCGGAATTCGTATTCATTTACTCTACGCGTCGTACATTACGCACGCAATTCAGGTCATGAGCGACCGGTTTCGGATAAATGCACGCGTTTTTTTGCGCACGAACAAAATTCCGATTCCGACGACACGGAATTTTTGCGCTGGATGGAAAGAAGCGCGTCGGATTTTTAAAGTGCTGCCTGTCGAACATGGGTGCGATATGTAGGTACGTGCGACAATTCGCGAGAAATTGTGCTGTCGTGCGCGTTATAAATCGTCACCGCATTAAAAATTCCACGCGCATCATGCGCACTCAGTGCCGCCCCCGACACCCCTTTCGGATTTTGTCGGTATTGTCATACTCGTACTGTGACAGAACTTGCAAGTTGGGTGAAGTTTTTCGTGCGCTCCGAGGAGATTTCCAAAATTTTCAACTTTACTTTCATGTTCACGTCGTGCAAAAGCTAAAAATACCGGTATTTT